GTGTGTGTGTGTGTGTGTGTGTGTGTGTGTGTGTGTGTGTGTGTAAAGAGTGCACTGCCATTGGATAACTGTCAAGGGTTGATTCTCTCCTTTTGCTGTGTGGGTCCCAGGAATTAAACTCAGGTCATCAGGCTTGGTGAGCCAGGCTGATGGCTTGATTTCAATTAACTTTTTAACTGATAAAGATATAAGTTCTCCTCGTTTTTAAAACTATAGACTACAGAATTGCCATCCATATTAATCTTTTCCTTTTTAGTAAGCAGTTTTTCTATGTATTTCTCATTTAAATAACTTCAAATACTCAGAGTCTAAAAAGGTCTAAATCTTCTTTCAGTAGTTCAGATTCAGCAGTATTCAGAAACAAAGCAATGACCAGAGAGTCTGCCCCAAGATCTAATCTGCTGGTAGCAGTACCTATGCAACTGTCACCTTCAAATTTCCCTTCACCAAGACCAGCGGTTCTCAACCTATAGGTAGATATCAGATGCCAAATACTCTGCATATCAGATATGTACATTATAATTCCTAACAGTAACAAGATTACAGTTATGAAGTAGCAATGAAATAATCTTATGGTTACGGGTCACCACAGCACAAGGAACTGTATTAAGGGGTCACAGCTTTAGGAGGGTTGAGAACCACTGACCAAGGCATCCTTCCAAATTTGGGAGTGATCTCTAGTCTCCCTTGTCTCCTATCTTCTGTTGCCTGGTTTATACCCTATTTTGTTGTGTGGCTTCTTGAGGGAGAAGAGATACCAAAGGCCCTGAAGCAGGAATATTCTCAGTTGGAAGAGCTGTTAGGAGGCCAGAGCTCCTGGAAAACACTGGAAGTTGGTAGGAATCAAGGGTTGAGAGGTCACAGGCATAGATCACATGAAGCCATGGTAAGGGGCCTGGCTTTTACTATGAATGAGAAGATACATCACTGGAAGGTCTTGAGCAGCGAAGTGACATGGTCTCCACTGTGTTTTATCTAAGTCACAGTAAATGACAGGTAGAAGGGAAGAGATCTAAATAACACTAGAGTAAATGCAGGGAGGTTTGTACAGTGAAGATATTCAGATGGGATTTAATGAAGCAACACGACACTTGCATATTACAGAGGAAGTGCCAGTGGGGGTGGCTCTGTGGGTCAAAGTGCCTGTTGTGCAAGCCTGACAGTCAGTGTTTGATCCCTGGTTCCCATGTAGGTGAGAGGTTGTCCATGGGGCTGCCCTCAGCTCTCCATATGTAATATGAGAACATGCACTTCACATCCCATCATACACATATACGCTATAATAAAGTAAATTTACAATATTTGAGTGGAAAAAGTGTTTGTACATGTACAAATCATAATGAGAAAACTACAGATTTGTCAAAATGTTAACAACTGATGAATGTAAGTGAAAGGCACACAGTGATTTAGTGGGAATTGCTAAAATGAATAAAATGTACTTCCATCCCTGTTCAGCTATGAATCCCTTGGGAAGTGACAAGGTATTCTGTACTCTGCACAGAGGTGATGGCATTACTCTACATGAACTTCATGAGCAGCCTCTGAATTGGTGACAGCGAGGGCAGAGCTGTACTGCATGGTATTCGAGAACAGGTGACAGTGAGGGCAGAGCTGTACTGTGTGGTATTCGTGAACAGGTGACAGCGAGGGCAGAGCTGTACTGCGTGGTATTCGAGAACAGGTGACAGTGAGGGCAGAGCTGTACTGCGTGGTATTCGTGAACAGGTGACAGCGAGGGCAGAGCTGTACTGCGTGGTATTCGAGAACAGGTGACAGCGAGGGCAGAGCTGTACTGCGTGGTATTCGAGAACAGGTGACAGCAAGGGCAGAGCTGTACTGCGTGGTATTCGAGAACAGGTGACAGTGAGGGCAGAGCTGTACTGCGTGGTTTTCCTAAGGCTTTGCTGTGCACCAATCACTGCACTACACACTTACATTCACCAACTGAATTCATCTTTCACCAGCTGTAGAGTGATAAAGAAGCCAAAGCCACACAGCTCAGCAAATGCCCCTCTACTCACTAGGCTCCCTTCAAGGATACAGACTGCTGGGGGATGGAGGAATGGCAGTTAGAGGGCTAGGACACTGTGTTTCTGGGAGAGCGAGCAATGCAAACAGATCATCTTTAGGCCCAATCAAGTTTATTACTGTCTTCCTGACTAAAATGGGCCTGATTTTCCTTCCTGATCTGTCCCTGTCCAGGGATCACTTGCCACAGAAAAGAACTATCTTAATTCTAATGCAACTATGGCTTAAGGGTAGAAACTCCATGAAAAGATCTGTTTGCCTTGTTATTTCCAAATTTTTATCTTAATTATTTTCCCCCAACATTTCACTGAAAATTTTCAGTGATATTCAAACCATAGGAAAATCAATGGCCACATATTTTTACACTTGATTTGGCAATGACTGTCATTTTGTCAAATTTGCTTTCTCTCTGTTCCTCCTCCAACAACTTTTCTCTCCAATAAACTATTTTAAGACCTCCAGGGCTAATTTCAAGTATCTCTAATACTTGCTCTTACATCACCTGGGAACAAGGACATTATAACCCATCGCATCATCATCCACGGATAAAATGAGGCTTGGGGGCTTGAGAGAGGTTCAGAGGTTAAGGGTGCCTGCTCTTCCAGGAGGACTGGTATTCAAGTTCTAGCACCCCTGATGGGCAGTGCTCAGTGCTCTACAACTCCAGCGCCAGGTGATCCAACACCTTCTTCTGGTCTCCAAGGGTGTATACACAGACACAGACACACCCCTCTTTAAAATGATGCTTTACTACAATGCTATTTAAATGCAGACTATGTTCAAACTTCTTCCATGTTATTTTAAAGATGGGTGCATCCAATCCAATAGCAAATTCTAGTGCTAATGTTGAGAAAGTCTATGTGAGCAAATGGTAATAAGGACGATGAAGCAGCTGTGTACACTTTATGCAAACTCAACCCACTGTGCAAATGCAACAAGGGCTGGAAGCCAAGGGAGGGCTGCCATGGTGAGGTGGTCCTCACCATGATGATGGCAAGTCAGTAATGTGTTAGGGGACAAGCAGCAGGTAATGTTTCCTCAGCAGTCATACAGCAGAAAACATGCATCTGTAAAAATATACCTCAGTGCCTGGGAACAAAACATATATTACTTTAAAAATATTATGACTGTTTACTGCAAAAGTTGAAAGAGAAGTAAATGAGATGAAAAGTTAGGTAAAGTGCTTGCTCTGCCCTAGGCTTGATCCCCAGCACCACATAAACTGGGTATGCTGGTTCATGACTGGATCACATCACTTGAGGGGAGGAGGCAGGAGGATCAGAGATTCGAGGCATCCTGAGCTACACAGCTAGGATACAGGAAATCCCCATCTTGAAAGAAAGAAAGAAAGAAAGAAAGAAAGAAAGAAAGAAAGAAAGAAAGAAAGAAAGACAGACACATATATTTCTCTAGTCCCAAGTTAGTATTCAGGCATCTGTATTGGCCTGTCCTTGGGTTCTGACAGGATCTGCCTTCAGCTGCAGCCACTAAGAGAGAGCACCCCCTGTGCACATTCACTATGTTCCCTTTTAAAAGGGCCCTGCCCAACTCCCACCCTTCTCTCTCCCTCTCCCCCCTCTCTCTCTGTCTCCTCCCCTCCCTCTCTCTTCCCTCCCTTCCCCTCCCTCCCACTCTCCCTCCCTCCCTCTCTCTCTTTTTCTCAGTGACCCCTTTCCTCTTTCCCGTTGCTGCTTCCATCTCTGCTGCTTCCATCTCTGAGGGCCAGTCCCTCCTCCCCTTTCCCCTTTTTATGATCCTTTACCCTAATTTTAAAAAACAAAACAAAAATCCCTCTGCTTGAATGCTGTTGCACGGAGTCTTTTTCTTGAAAGCTGCTGTTCTTGAATTACAACACCAAGTACCAATTCATTTTAGTTGCAAATAAAATGCAAATCACAAATATTTAAATTTTTTTCCCAAGTGATCTCATTCATTAGGTTTCCTACTGCTGTCCTGAAGGCCTCCTTTCTACAAGTTCTCCACCTTTCAACACACCCCTCCTCCCAATCTTCAGAAGAATTCTGTTTCTAAAAGTGCTTGCTAGGCATACAGAAGGCCTACTGTTATCCTCAGCATCACCCCCACCCCAACACAAAACAATAACAACAATAGCAATACCCCCTCACCCCAGCACAAAACAACAATAATAGCAACACCCCCTACACAAAGGCATTCTCACTGATAAAGTCCTCTAGCCTTCACCTCCCTGCCTCTTTGCTTCTTCAACTGTGATATCCCAGTTGTGTCTTCACAGCCCAGTTGATCTGTGACAGCTCACTTTTCTTTCCTTCTAACAATTTTTAAATGTTACATGCATGGGTGTATTGCCTGCACGATGTATGTCTGTACACGTCTTGTGCGTTTGATGGCTGTAGGGGCCAGGAGAGGGTGTTGGGATTCCCTGGAAGTGGAATTTCAGACAGCTGTGAACTGCCCTGTGGGTGTTGGGAGTTGAAGGAAGTCCTCTGGAAGAGTAGCCAGTGCTTTTAACTGGGCCAGCACCTGCTCATCTTAACCACCATCTCAAGAGGTTGCCTTCGTTCCTCTGTTGCCGACTGGGCAAAGTTAACTGCTGAACCCTAGACTTGTCTACTCTGACAGCACAAACTACTTGTATCTACATTCTTGTTTCCCATTTTACCACGGCTCACTTTGGAACATGCCTTAGGAAGTCCTTGTTCCTTCAGTGGCCAGCAGGCCTCTTGGCATGCAGTTGGAGCTTACTAAACTCTTGCCATACTGATTCCTCTTTACACTCAGCTGAATCACCAAATAAAGGTATTGGTTACTGTCCAAATGACAAATCATCCAGGCTACAGTGTGTCCACCCCCTAGAATAGGCCAGATTTCCTACCGGTCATGGGTTTAAAATCAACAATGGTGGAGAGGGATCAATCATGGAGAATCGGTTTCAGACATCTAGACATTGGCAGCTGCATCAGTGAGGCTGAGAGCCAAGGGTGCAGTCTTACCTGATGGAGGAAGAGCGGAAGTGCTCTCGAGTCCATCTGCTCCACCTCACCTCGGATCAGCGAGAAGAGTGGCTGCAGCGCTGGCACTTTTGGAGGGTTGTTAGCGTTCACTCCAGCAGCCTCTTCACCAGCAGCCTGCAGCTCTGCATTCAGCGTCTGCATTAAAGGTGTGGCATCTCCTACAGAACATGAAGGAAGTGACTGCATCAGGCTAGACCCTGTCATGAGGAATGCTTTGAACTACCTCTCCCATTGACGATGAAACGTTCAAGTAAAATTAACCATATGGGAAAAAACAGCAACCCAGAAACCACACATTACTGTCCTCCTTCAGTTAGCATTTGTGTGTGTGTGTGTGTGTGTGTGTGTGTGTGTGTGTGTGTGTGTGCGCGCCAGCACTGGTTCAATCATTTCTGCAGAACTGTAACTGAGTATCAGTAAGAAGGGTCTGAGGAGACAGGTAGGTAGCTAAGTCAGTCAAGTGTTTGCTTTACAAGAATGAAAACCCAAGTGAATGCCCAGAAGTCATGGTAGTACAACCTGGTAACCCCAGCACTGGAGATAGAGCCAGGTGGACTTCTGAGGCTCACAGGCCAGCCAGCCTACCCCTTGGTAAGGTTCAGCCTAGGAAGAGATTGTCTGAGGCAAAACAAAGGTGGTTGGTGCCTGAAGGCTGACATCTAATGTTGTTCTCCAGCCTCAAATAAGGAAACACACACACACACACACACACACACACACAGAAAGAGAGAGAGAGAGAGAGAGAGAGAGAGAGAGAGAGAGAGAGAGAGAGAGAGAGCATATCATAAAAAAAAAAAAAAAAAAAAAACAAAGAAACATACATAACTTACTGCCTGGTCAAAAACTTGGCTCTCCCAACTGAAAAGTAGACTATACTTTGACGTTCTTTTATGGAGTTCTTGCCCCAAATATGACAGACCTGAACAGGGAGGTAAATGTGTCGCTCCATGAGACAGTTAAACTCACTGAGCCTCCTCTTTACCACATTAGAGGTACCTGAAGGTCCCAGGAGACTAGTAGGGATTCAGTTGGCAACAGTGACACTGGTGAGGTGTTCTTTCTGCAGAGAAAGAAAGTTCTGCAAACTTCTGAACCATCCCTGCTATGTGCTCAACCCATCCACAACCTTTGAGATGCACCCGCACTTGTCATTTTAACTGTTATAAATTATAACCTAAGCCTTCACCAGATCTCAGTATTGATCCCAATTTTCATATTCCAGTCAAGTAAAACACCCATCCCTGTTGAGTACAGGCACTCAGCTCATCTGTCTCAGGAAGGCTCTGTCCCAGGAATAGAGAACAACATGCTCTGTCCTCCAACAGTGTGCCCCAATCCCCACTTTTCTCTGTCCTCCAAATAAACCAGTGCCGTATCTCTCTAAGCTGTTGCACACTTTAAAAGCTGAAAGAGTTCCCACCCACTTCTACCTATTTATATTCTACCCCAACACACACACACACACACACACACACACACACACTCATGCACTTCAGCAATATATTGCCCACACCTCTATTTTACCTCTTGAGACAATGTCCCCTACTGAGACAGAGTCCATAAGGCAAGCAGAAGCTGGAAGGTCTGAGGTTCCATGCTGTCTTGACCTACTCATGGAGTTTAAGGCCAGACTGGGCTACAAGAGACTGTCTCAAAACAATAGCACTGGAGAGCTAGATACAGGAAAATCCCTGAGGCTTGCTGGCCTATCAATCTAGCCAACCAGTGAGCCCTGGGTTCAACAAGAGACTGTCCTATGATGAAACACCACGACCAAAAAGCAAGTTGGGAAGGATGGGGTTTATTTGACTTATGCTTCCATATCACAGAAGGGAGTCAGGACAAGAAATAAATAGAGGACAGGAATCTGGAAGCAGGAGCTGATGCAGAGGCCACAGACACATGATGCTTACTGGCTTGCTCTTCATGGCTTGCTCAGCTAGCTTTTTTATGGACCCTGTGACCACCAGCCCAGGGGTGACACCACCAACAATGGGCTGGACCCTCCCAAATCAAAAATTAATTTAGAAAATGTCCCACAGTCTTACCTATGGCACAATCCTCCCCCTCCCCCCCTGACAGGGTTTCTCTGTGGCTTTGGGGCCTGTCCTGGAACTCGATCTATAGACCAGGCTGGTCTTGAATTCACAGAGATCCACCTGCCTCTGCCTCCTGAGTGCTGGGATTAAAGGCGTGTGCCATCATTGCCCAGCTTCTATGGCCCAGTCTTATGGAGGCATTTTCTAGATTGGGATTCTCTCATCTATGATGAGCCCAGCTTGTATCCAGCCTGCACAGAAACTCAGTCTCAGCTCTCTCTCCCTCTCTACCTATCTGTAATATAAAATAAGACGGACAGTGATTGAGGAAGACAACTGACAAAGATGACTGGCCTCCACAATGAACATACAAAATAAACAATAACATTTGTTTAAAAGAAAGAATTGGGAGGCAGTTGGTGTTACTTAATGGTGTAAGGCCTTGGACTCTGTCCCTTGCACAGAAAAGAGAGAGAGAGAGAGAGAGAGAGAGAGAGAGAGAGAGAGAGAGAGAGAGAGAGAGAGAGAGAGAGAGAGAGAGAGAGAGAGAGAGAGAGAGAGAGAGAATGGGGAATAGAAAGGGTCATCATTGTGAACAATTGTTTTTAAAAAATGAAAGTAAGGCTCTCTCTCACTCCAGCCCTAAGAGAAGTATCCTCCAGTCGCCTACATAAAACACAGAAAGTTTTCAGTCAGGGAAATAAGTGCTTGCAGGAAGAGTTCCACAGCATTTCTACACAGTGGTTTTTTTTTTTTTTAGTTCTGCCAAAAGTTTACAACAGAGTTCTACCATGCCTTATATAATAATGCTACTGAATAAGGACATACTTTACCTTAGGAACATATAAAGTACACACTGATATTCTAACTATATGGAGTTATACTTAAAATATACCCTTACTGATTTCATGCCTTTAACAGCACAAATAATTCACATTAGAAAACTATCTGCCAGGCTTGGGGGCCACAACTTTAATACCAGCAGAGGAGGAGGCAGAGGCAGGGAGATCTCTATGAGTTCCAGGACAGCCTGGTCTACACAGTGAGCTCCAGAACTGACAGGACTCCATAGAGATATCCTCTTTCAAAAACAGAAAGAGGCAGGCGTATCTCTGAGTTTGGGACCAGCCTGGTCTATAGAGCAAGTTCTAGGACCGCTAGGACTGTTACACAGAGAAACCCTGTCCCAAAAAAAAAACAAAAGAAAAGGAAAGAGAGAAAGACGGAAGGAAGGAAGGAAGGAAGGAAGGAAGGAAGGAAGGAAGGAAGGAAGGAAGGAAGGAAGGAAGGAAAACTATCTGTTGTCAAAGAGCCAGAGAATGAATGCTCTGGAAGCCAGGCAGCCTGCTTCCAACCTTATTTGCTGTAGTTCTGCCAAGTCACTAAATTCTGATTCTACTTTGTTTCTATTTTTCTGCAGCATGGGGGGAGAGAGAGCATCTACCTTCTAAGATCATGTAAGCAGTAAATGAAATGGTAAAGAGACCCCTGGACAAAGCTAGGTGTGCATGTGCTCCCCACTCACGCTGCCATTTACAAGATCATTAAGACAGGCTCTTCTTTTAAAGAAAAGTACCTGGAGGAAAAGGCTACTAAAGCTTACATACCCAAAGTTTCAGTAAATAACAAGTCAGGCACAGTGACCTCCGTGTTCGGAGGAGGGAGGAGGCACAGTGCAAGGTCATCCTTTTGCTACATTAGAAATTTAAGGCCAGTCTGAGCTACATGAGAGACCATTTCCCACCCCTCCCCCCAAAAACCCCAAATACAAGAATAACAAACACAAAAAGAGCCCCTCAAGAGTTAAACACTTAGTTCAATGTTTACTAACACTGTTTGAACACAAGTGGACTCCACATACAGTAACATGTGATTGCCTTTCAGCTTAAGCTTCTTTTGCTTAGTCAGGACTCAAGTTTCCTTCACTTCTTCCCATGGCTTTAGATCTCATTTCTTCTCAGCACTGAATCCTTCACGGACTTGTTTAAGTAGGGAAGTGAGTAAGAAGAGGAAGAAACTCTGGCATAATCATGGACTTACAGACTAACACTATGTGAACCTGCACCTCTCCACTGTACTAAGTGACTTTATAAGAGCTACTTGGGCTTTCACACTGGAATACGGAAGCTCATGGTTCTCCATGTGTCTTTCAAGGTAATTTGATATTGTTACTTTAAATGATGCCCCATGAGCCTTGTAAATGCTTTTCTTTGAGTGGCTTAATAATGCTTCATGAATTATCACTAAATTTCTCTGTGGCAAATACAAAGTTCTCTGGTAAAAACACATTTCTAGTTAAGCAAGAATATCAAAACATGAATTGCTACATGTAATTTTCCCTCCACTATGAAGTCTCACTCAATATAAATAAAGCTCTCTGCTGCTGTGCATGAACCCAGATGGTTGGAGAGAAACAAGAAACTCTACCTTCTTTTGCAAAACCATGTGAGTTATAGCTAAAATACCCACCAAGCAACTCGGTGATGCTATTTATACATTTTGCAGATGACAGGCAGATTCATAAGCCCTAATTTAACTTAGCACCTGTCAACTTTATTACGCTCCAAAATAGAGACCACAGTTCAACATTTAATGCAGATTTTTACACTTGATTTTAACAAAAGGCTGAGAAACCATTTTAGCTGATTTAAAAAAAAAATATTTGTAACACTTTGGGGGCAGAGATTGTACAGCTTATCTTGACTGAGATACCTTTATTCAGTTCTGTGTGCCTGCACATAACTGACCCCTTCTGTCTAGAGCCTCAGCCTGAAGTCTGTCAAGAGATACTCTGCAGAACCCTGTGATATCTTTTAACAGCCTTTGTCTTGTGATGCTAGGATTGCACTCTGATATGCACACCCCTCCAGTAATCTGCCATCTGTGAACACAGCTGAGATGCAACGCGTGGCTCCAGGCTGGGGAAATGGTGTGACTGCACCATTTAATGGCAAAATCCATGGCTATGACACGTTATCACAGACAAATGACACCCAAAGGATGCCACCCAGAAGCCTGCAATGAAGAGGTAAACACGGTATCATGGAGGCCCTAGAATTAGGGTTTCAAAGAAAAACTGGCAGAAGAGGCAGCCCCATTCTCCCATGTCCCTTTTATTT